AACAGACCGAGGTAAAAATAGTGACGTGTGGGGGGTTTTCTGTTATCTCATTCTGACCACTCAGCAAAAAAAACACCACAATATTTAAATCTTCTTTTAAAATATACTCTTTCTAATGCAGTACTGATGGGAACACACAAAGTACAAATGTTTTTTACACATACATAAATATACAGATTTTATTTACTTATTTAACTTACTTACGCAACAGAGCATCTTAAGTTTGTAAGCGCGTTTCACAACTTTCAGGCCAGAACAGACGTTTGCCTTAGAGTTACAGTAACAACAACTGGCATGCTAATAGAGCACATCCTGAATCTCAGACAACAAAACCAAAACATTTGAATTTGATGCAGACAAAATGTAGTGGACTTATTTTGGTGTGTCTTGGATGCCTCTGGTTGGAGCCTTTGAGTTCAGACGGGGTAGACAGGGACTAAACCACGACTAAACCAGGTCTAAACAAGGACTAAAACAGGACTAAACCAGTACTAAAACAGGACTAAACCAGGACTAAAACAGGACTAAAATAGGTCTAAACCAGGACCAAAAGAAGACTAAACCAGGTCTAAAACATGACTGACAGTTGTCTTTGTGGTTCAGACAATCACAGCTCTCGTGTTCAGTGGAAGTTTGCTGCATCGTCATTTGGACGAGGTGGACGCACACTAGACTAAACCAGAACTAAACCAGAACTAAACCAGGACTAAACCAGAACTAAACCAGGACTTAACCAGGTCTAATCTTGGACTTGAGGGAGAGAGAGAACCCCGAGTCCGTGGAGCAGGGTGGCCGCAAAGTCTGGTCTCGCAGTGTTAGGATTCATTCGTTCGACAGTAGGCGAGTACTTTTTTTAATTTAACCAATCGCTGCTGTTTGGTCGTGACGTATGTAATGTGCCAAATCCTGTAGGAAGAACAATAACGTCTTTCCTCTTGATAAAATTCACCAAACATTCTCTTTGTTCTGGCTTTAAATCCTTGATCTCTTGAACTCTTTGCCAACACAGAATGTCTGTCTTCATCTACATCCATCTCGACGTTTTGTTTACTGTTGTGTTGTTCCACAAAACAGACACAGACAGACGCCACCAGTTTGACGTCATGACTTTACAGCTCACAGCTGATTGGTCGGTGTGCAGTCTCCAACTTCTGGGGTTCTTGCAAAGCGTCTAGTGCACAGGTGTCAAACATACGGCCCAGGGGCAAGATCCGGCCCTCCAAGACCTTTAATCTGGCCCTCGGCTGATTTTCTACTAAAATATTGTAATTATATTTTCTATTAAAATCTTGTTAATTTTTTGCGGTGTTTATCACAGCAGCGTCTCCAGTGTCTCTGTACGTGGCCCCTCCCACCAGAGCAGCACAAATGAAGACTTGTCTCTTTCCAAACGCTCTTAAAGGACGATCGTTTTGACTGTTGACCGTGACAACCTCATCAGAAAAATGTCCAACATGAGAAAAGTGGAGCCTAGTGCAGGATTTTACAACAAAAATGGACTTATTCCTGTTTACAAACAAGTTCATGTTAAAACTTTGTGTTGAAATTGTATTTTTCTTAAAGTTTCAGGTTGTTCATAATATTATAATATTTTGTCAAAGAAAGAGTTCATCAATAAAAAAAAGATTTCTGTAATAGATTTGTGTTTCTCTACACAAATATTTGAACTTATTGTTATTTTTGGGGTTTATATGACATGAGTTTTCTGATCCGGACACTTTGGGATCAGAGTCGGTTGGACACGACCCCCGGAACAAAATGACTCTGACACTCCTGGTCTAGTGTTTTCTGATTTCTGATCTAGTCCCTATAGTGAAACTGGAGGCACTAGGTGGCACCAGCCTGGATACACGTCCACCGCACGAGCGCAGCAAACACCGCCAGCTCTGATTGGTTCTCTTGTGCGTCTGGAGCTGTGTGGCAGTTCCACGTAGATTTGGGTTTATATAGGATCATAAACCGTCCTTCAAACATGCAAACATGAACACAAGGCTCCGCGTTTGTCAAAAAAGACAATCAGTCTTGGCCATGTTTTGGCACAGAGAAAACAACCGTCTGAACAGCCTGATCCCAGAAAACATCAGGATTTCCAAAGTGGATTTCAAAGCTCTAAGTGACATTGTTTTTCTGAACCTGGGCTCTTTCACACGACACAAAACAGGGACATGTTGGTAAATGAACAAAATCAACAACAGACGCTTTCTGTGTGTAAGAAATAGGTCAGTTTTTTATTATTATTATTGTCGAGGTGTCAGAATTGATATTGAGCCTATTCGTCTTACTTACTTGTTATCGAAAATCAAGTTTTAAATTTTAGTATCGAGACTGATCAAAAGTCGTTTTAAAGTTTCAAAATAGGAATTAAACCGACTGAAAAATTATTATCCATGCATTTTGGAGGGAATTTTCACAATGATGACATGGACCAGGACTAAAATAGGTCTAAATCAGAACCAAACCAGGACTGAACCAGTACTAAACCAGGACTGAAACAGGTCAAAACTAGGACTGAAACAAGATCTAAACCAGGACTAAACCAGGACTAAACAGGAAACTAAACCAGGACTTCTAAACCAGGACTAAAACAGGTCAGGACTAAACCAGGAACCAGGTCTAAAAAAAAGGACTAAACAGGTCTAAACCAGGACTAGGTCTAAAACCAGGACTAAAACCAGGAGGTCTAAACCAGGACTAAACCAGGTGACTAAAACACTAAAAACCAGGACTAAACCAGGACTAAACCAGGTCTAAACCAGGACTAAAACAGGTCTAAACCAGGACTAAACCAGGACTAAACCAGGTCTAAAAACCAGGCAACCAGGACTAAACCAGGACTAAAACAGGTCTAAACCAGGACTGGAAAACCAGGACTAAAACAGGTCTAAACCAGGTCTAAACCAGGACTACAAAACCAGGACTAAAACAGGTCTAAACCAGGAGGTCTAAACCAGGACTAAAAACTAAACAGGTCTAAACCAGGACTCAGGTCTAAACCAGGACTAAAACAGGTCTAAACCAGGACTAAACCAGGACTAAAACAGGTCTAAACCAGGACTGAACCAGGACTAAACCAGGTCTAAACCAGGACTGAACCAGGACTAAAACAGGTCTAAACCAGGACTGAACCAGGACTAAAACAGGTCTAAACCAGGACTAAACCAGGACTAAAACTAAAACAGGTCTAAACCAGGACTGAACCAGGACTAAACCAGGACTAAAACAGGTCTAAACCAGGACTGAACCAAGACTAAACCAGGACTAAAACAGGTCTAAACCAGAACTAAAACCAGGACTAAAACAGGACTAAACCAGGACTAAATCAGGACTAAACCAGGACTAAAACAGGTCTAAACCAGGACTAAAACAGGACTAAACCAGGACTAAAACAGGACTAAATCAGGACTAAACCAGGACTAAAACAGGTCTAAACCAGGACTAAAACAGGACTAAACCAGGACTAAAACAGGACTAAACCAGGACTAAATCAGGACTAAAACAGGTCTAAACCAGGTCTAAACCAGGTCAAAACCAGGACTAAACCAGGACTAAAACAGGACTAAACCAGGACTAAAACAGGTCTAAACCAGGTCTAAACCAGGTCTAAAACAGGTCTAAACTAAACCAGGTCTAAACCAGGACTAAACCAGGACTAAACCAGGACTAAAACAGGTCTAAACCAGGACTAAACCAGGACTAAAACAGGTCTAAACCAGGACTGAACCAGGACTAAAACAGGTCTAAACCAGGACTGAACCAGGACTAAAACAGGTCTAAACCAGGACTGAACCAGGACTAAAACAGGTCTAAACCAGGACTGAACCAGGACTAAACCAGGACTAAACCAGGACTAAAACAGGTCTAAACCAGGACTGAACCAGGACTAAAACAGGTCTAAACCAGGACTAAACCAGGACTAAAACAGGTCTAAACCAGGACTGAACCAGGACTAAACCAGGACTAAAACAGGTCTAAACCAGGACTAAACCAGGACCAAACCAGGACTAAACCAGGACTAAACCAGGACTAAAACAGGTCTAAACCAGAACTAAAACCAGGACTAAAACAGGACTAAACCAGGACTAAACCAGGACTAAATCAGGACTAAAACAGGACTAAATCAGGACTAAACCAGGACTAAAACAGGTCTAAACCAGGACTAAAACAGGACTAAACCAGGACTAAAACAGGACTAAACCAGGACTAAATCAGGACTAAAACAGGTCTAAACCAGGTCTAAACCAGGACTAAACCAGGACTAAAACAGGTCTAAATCAGGACTAAACCAGGACTAAAACAGGACTAAATCAGGACTAAAACAGGTCTAAACCAGGTCTAAACCAGGTCTAAAACAGGTCTAAACCAGGACTAAACCAGGACTAAACCAGGACTAAAACAGGTCTAAACCAGGAGGTCTAAACCAGGACTAAACCAGGACTAAACCAGGATTAAATCAGGTCTAAACCAGGTCTAAACCAGGACTAAACCAGGACTAAACCAGGACTAAACCAGGACTAAACCAGGTCTAAACCAGGTCTAAACCAGGTCTAAACCAGGACTAAACCAGGTCTAAACCAGGTCTAAACCAGGACTAAACCAGGACTGAGTGTTGGCACGGGCCTGGAGGTGCACCCATGTAGACCGTCAGGTGACCGAGGGTGAAAGGACCGGCTCTCAGTGTCCCACGGGGCTCAGCGCAGATGTTGCCAATCGTGCCCTGCTCCACGGGCTCAGGGTTCTGTCTCTCACTCTCAAGTCCAAGATTAGTCCTGGTTTAGTCCTGGTTTAGTTCTAGTTTAGTCCTGGTTCATGTGTTGTAGTTTGTGATTTATGTTCTGTAGTTGATTAAAAACGGCGTTAACTTTAATAAAATGATTCTGCATCATTTTGAGTAAAAAAAAAACATCAAATATTTCTGATGTTTGCTAGACTGGGTCTTTATGTTTGTACTGAAACTGAGTTCAGGGGTCACAGGTCAGATCTGTGGAGAGGCGACCCCGCTC